CACTGTTCACTACAGCATTATTTACAGTAGTCAAGACTGTACTAGAAGCAACCTAAGTGTTCACTGATAGATGAATGTATAAAGAAAATATGGTATATACACACAATGGAATATTATTAAGCCATACAAAAGGAAATGTTGCCATTTGTGACAACATAGATGGACCTTGAAGTCATTATGTGAAGTAAGAGAAAGACAAATATTGGATTATCTTAAATGTGGAAGCTAAACAAAAAGAAACACAAATTCATAAACACATAGAAGAGACTGGCAGTTACCAAGGGTGGGGGTGAGTAAAATGGGTGAAGACGGCTAAAATGTACAAAACTCCCATTATAAAATAAGTCCTGGGGACGTAATGTACAGCATAGTGACTATGATTAACAATGCTGTATTATATATTTGAAAATTGCAGAGAGAGATCTTAGAAGTTCTCATCACACACAAAAAATTGTATTTTTGTACCTATGTATGATGATGGATGTTAACTAGACTTATCGTGGTAATTATTTCATAGTAAAGACATCAAATAGATGTTATACACCTGAAGCTAATAGGTATGTCAATCATATCTCAAAAAATTTAAAATTTAAAGACGTATATAAAATCTATAGGTATATAAAAGTTTATAAGTATATAAAATCGATATTATTTTGAATGACTACTAATATTTGACTGTTGACTATTTGATAATTAATCTGTGGACTATATTTGCTACTATAAAAATATCTCAATAAACACTGTGGCACATTTTTATTTACTTGTCCTATTATTTCAGAACAAATTACTAAAATTAAAATCACTGATAGGTACATTTACATGTGCCAAATTGCCCTTCAGAAAGATTATACAAATTTACATTTCTAACAACAGTATGCGAAAATGAGTCCTCCCCCTCATACTCAATCTGAGAAGACAGGATATAATGTTGCTTCTAATTTGATCACTTATTTGATTCAGTATCTTCTCATTTTTCAATTGGTTAGTTAAACTTCTCCTCTCATCTGCCTCCTCAAGTCCTTTGCCTAATTTTACATTAGGAAATTGTCTTACCAATTTGTAAGAGTTCTTTTGATTCGAATACTAACCCCTTGTTTATGTGTTGAAATAGTTTTCTCATTTCATATCTTTCAAATTTGTTTATAGTGAGGTTTATTGGGCTATACAAATGTTTAGATCCAGGGACGCCTGGGTGGCTCAGTGGGTTAAGCGTCCAACTTCAGCTCAGGGCATGATATTGTGGTTTGTGGGTTCGAGCCCCGCATCAAGCTCTGTGCTGACTGACAGCTCAGAGCCTGGAGCCTGCCTCAGATTCTGACTCCCTCTCTCTGCCCCTCAGCTGCTCACACTCTGTCTCTTTCTCTCAAAAGTAAATAAACATTAAAAAAATAAAAAAACCAAATGTTTGGATCCAGTGAATCTCCTTTTATGGTCTTGATTTTAATGCACTGATAAGAAAGACCTTAGTAAAGATAATAAAATAACTTCCCTATGTTCTCCTCATATACTTTTATCATTTTGAGCTTTGATTAAAGCTTTAAATATAAAAACAAACTAATCTGTATTTTTTTAGTCTGTAGAGTGAAATATAAAAATTTATATGCTGTTCCACTGCCAATTATTATACTAAACTCATTCTTTCCCTTCTTTATTTCTGGAAATTTATATAGAGTTTGAACCTCTTACTTCATTCTACCATTTCTCTTACTTTTTTTTTCCACATCAATTCCACCAAATTATCTTTGACCTCCTCTCTTGAGCTGCTGATCCTCTTCATAAATCCAGTGATTTTTGCCCCCTGCAGTCTACTCACATTTACAAAAATTAGAGGCAAGTGTAGACCCAGTTGACAACTGTTAAAGTCTGTCTTCTCTCTTTTGTTACCTAGCACAGCACAGCAAGTGCCTTGAGGGATACTTCTAAGCAATTACTGCTCCCCTGACTTGACCCCACCCCACCAAGCCTCCCAGCACAGGAAATGGCTTTTCCCTCCTGCCTTGGCACGCTTAACCATTACTACAGGTTTCTTCTGCTTCTGTGGAAGAATGCTTTAGCACTATTCATATTAACTTTCTCAGTTTTGGAAGGATGATGGGGCACACGTGCAGAAGCATCTACACACGCCTGTTTGGTGTGGTAAGAGTTTTGGTTCCTAGAAATAGGGGTGGTAAGTCAATTAATGTTATTTTCATCTTTCAGGCAATTTTCTCTTTTCAAATACCCTGATAACAAAGTTCCCTCCAGCCAGGTTCCCCCATCTACCATTCACACAATTGTCGGCCAAGCTTCCCAGGCTGTGGAGAAGTTTCATAAAATAAAACTGTTTCTGCCTTATCACTAATTGCCTGCTACCTCTAGTCTGGGGTTCCTAGACTACTTATTTGAGGACAGCTTCAACATTCCATAAAACATGCAATTTACCACTGGGTGGAATGCTTTTGCTGGGTTTACTTTTGTGGCATTATCAACATTAGGTATTGGCATACTGTTAGTTAGACATTGAAACTGTTCAATAAAACATTAAATAATAACAGAAAAACCCAATTAAACACATTGGTAAGAGCCATTTGAGCTGAGGAAATCTTCATTTGGTACCCTCGAGCTCAATTGCTGAAAGTAAAGGAAAGCACTCCTTACTGTAAATAACTCCTTATTGTCTGAAATAAATGACAGACCTTGAGAAAAATACATAATTTCACTGTTGAGTATGTCAGTGAATTTATATGCTTATACATTAAAAACATTTTTTTGATTCATTTATTTATTTTGTGACAGAGAGAGAGAGAGAGAGTGTGTGTGTGTGTGTGTGTGTGTGTGTGTATACACTTGAGCACAAGCAGAAGGAAGGGCAGAGAGAGAGGGAGACAGAGAATCTTAGGCAGGCTCCACATGCTGTCAGTGCAGAGCCCGACACAGAGCTTGAACTCATGAACCGAACCACAAGATGCTGACATAAGCTGAAATGAAGAGTTGGATGCTTAACCAACTGACCCATCCAGGTGTCCCTATATGCTTACATTTTTTTATGTATAACTATTTCCAACATTTACAGAGCATAATAAATCATCACTGCATGAGGCCCCTTTAACAAAGACATGTGCATAAGAAAGAATTGTGTTAGCCATGTAAATTCAAGTAATCTATCAAATTATGTTTTCTAATTTAAAAATTTTTAAATGTGAAATTCTTGAATAAAATGCTGGTGGGTTTTCATAAAACATTAATTATATAATCAAGAGACCTGAGGGGAGAGAAATTATCCAATATTTTTAATCAGATCAAGATCAAACATTTTCAGATACTTTTTGCATCTAACAGTTCTGAATGTTCAACCATGAATCCTGTCAAATTTTAAGTTAATGGGTTTTCATTTTGGTCTTTTTTTACTGCATATTTAAACAATGTCAAGTCCAGTGCTCACTTCGGCAGCACATATACTAAACAATGTCAAGTCCAGGGCCCATTTACTCATTCTTTATTTTTCCCACCTTTAGAAATCAGTATGTCCCTTCCACTCACATCTGATCAGGTAAAGCAAGTCATGGTCATGCCTAGCTTCAAGGTGGTAAAGAGTGTAATCATCCCGTATGTTCAGGAAAGGCAGGATAACAGGAAATACGAACTCTAGTGAAGCTACCAAGCTACCTAAGCTTTTTTTTTTAAGCTTTAAGTTTTTTGTTTTTTGTTTTTTTTAAAGCTATAGGATTGCTCAAAGATCATTTCTTTAAGTGACGAATTTTTAAAGAGAAAATTATTTGTGGGGTGCCTGGGTGGCTCAGTCGGTTGAACACTGACTTCAGCTCAGGTCATGATCTCACAGTTTGTGGGTTTGAGCCCCACATCGGGCTCTGTGCTGACAGCTCAGAGCCTGGAGCCTGTTTTGGATTCTGTGTCTCCCTCTCTTTCTCTCAGCCCCTCCCCTGCTCACACTTTGTCTCTCAATCTCTCTCTCTCAAAAATAAAATGAACATAAAAATTTTTTTTTAAAAGAGCAAATCATTTCCCACCTCTCTAAAATGTCAGCTATATACAAGTTTCTGGGTTCTCCTCCCCTATTCCTTTTCATTTTTACATGCTCGTAATCATACTCTAAATACTAGTCTTTGTACCGATCATCATGTCATATCCATTTTCTATATTGCTAAAGAATCTTTATAATCTTTTATTCTGGTGTAATATTTAAAGTGGAATTTTTCAATTAAATTTATTCTTAGAATATCTAATAAATTCCTATTCTGATTTCAAGTTTGTATTCAATCTAATTCTTAACCCTGTTTAAAGAAAATAAACCAATAAAACAATGCATATCGTGTCTTAGCACTTGTAGGAAAACCTGCTACTTCTGGACCTTCCTAAAATGCAGATTGTTTATGGCCAAACATAAAAGCCACTCAGTTCTGAAAAATTCTAAAGACACAGTTAATTCTAACATAAAAAGTAAGTGGCTTGAAAATCCCAGAAATAGAAAAGAGCAGAAAACAACTAAAGGAGTATGATTAGTAAATTGCCCAAATATATTATATCTAAAGATGTCCAATTTTAAGAGAGGAGTACAGCAGTTTAAGAAAATCAATTTTACTTTCTAAAATTCCATCTTATAAAACCAACAGGTAAGAAAGTAATGTAAGATAATCCTTCAGTTAGTGAAAGTATTTACTACAAATTTCCATTTAATGACAAGTTCCCTTAAGTCAGTTGGAAATAAAATACACAAAAATTAAATTTGCTTCAAAGCTGTTCAGGCATATCCCTAGAATAAAAAGGAGCAATTCCTGTGCTGAATTTTAGGATATGGAAACAACAGGCTCAATTATGAATAGTGACTATAAATAAAAGGCAAGAAGAAAATATATACATTCAAAACTGAGCCATTGGCAAGAAAGCGGCTTTCAAACAATTTCTTAGTTGTTAAGGAAAAAAATCTTGAGAATGCTTCAAGGGAATCTAATAACATTTTTTACATAAAGAAAAAATATATACATTTAAAACATGTGTCCTACCATTTGTACTTCAATATCACCTTGTTCCTCAACTTTTGTTTCTTCCTCACAAACTGATACAGACTCACATTCTCGTTGTTTATACTCTTCTTGGAGCTCTTTGCTGATTTCTGCTTCTCCCTTCTGAACTTCATCTTTGACAAAGTGAGTTACTGTGGCAGTATGTCCTTGTAATGATGCTGAAACAGGGCGCAGTGGTGTGGCATGGTCATAGTGAGTATGCAGGAGTCGTATAGCAATGCCACTTGTTGCTAAAATCCTTGGAATTTCAAATCTAATTTGTGTTTCAGAGAATCTGACACTTCTGTACCTGTTAATGATTTTAACAAAAAGGTGAGACTGTAGAAAACGAAGTCTGCTGAGAATCTATACCTAAGCAAGATTTCTCTCCACTTTAATTTTGCCACAGGTTTGAGTCCCAACCCATGCCTGCTTGCTTGCTTTGCAATTTGGACCCAGTTGCTAGTGTTAATCCTTCTCAAAAACACTCTCTTGGGATGTATGACCCCATACTCTTCTCTTCCATCTCAGGCAGGTCCTTCTTTGTTTCCCCTGTATGGCTTTCTTCCTAACTGTCCCTTAAATGTTGATATTATATTACTCAGTTCTCTATCCAGGCCCTCTTTCTTTCTCCCTCTACATATTCTCCTTGGATCTTATTTTGATGGCTTCAATCATTACTTATGTAATCTGGCATTTTTAACATGAGTTCTATGTGTCTTGGGATGGGGTAGTGGGACAGAAGAGGGATCCCTGAATCGGCTTTAAGAGGCCCAAAAATGCCCTTACCTATGATGAGTGTATGTAATAAAGTTTGTAAGAGTCTATGACTCCCAAAAAGTTAAGAACTACTGATCTATATGATAATGACTCCCCAAAATAGATCAACTCAGATTTTTTCAGTGCCTTCAGACAGTTGCACTGGGATATTTCACAAGTACTTCAAACTCAACAGACCCAACATTAAACTCGTCATGCCTGCAGCCCCCCTCATTATCATCAAATAAAACAAAACTTGTTTCTGCCTCCACTATTCACTATCTTAGTAAAAAGACACCATCTAATTCTCTTCTAATTCTCTTCTTAAATCTGGACAGTTAATAGAGGGCTATTCATTTTACTTCTTTAAAAATTATACAGAGTAATTTCTTTTTTTTTTTTTTCATGTTTATTTATTTTTAAGAGAGAGAGAGACAGAATGTGAGCAGGTGAGGGGCAGAGAGAGAGAGGGAGACACAGAATCTGAAGAAGGCTCCAGGCTCTGAGCTGTCAGCACAGAAAATGGGGGTTCATTTAATAAGCCAATATTTATTGGGCACAGAATGGTTCATTTTATGCCAGCTTGACAGAGTCACAGTGATGGGGTTTTAGAGTGATGGGGTCCCAGAGCCGATGGCCAAGAAATAATTCTTGAGACGTCTTTGGTGCCAAAGGGGTGATTGTATTAAAGCACAGGGACAGAACCCAGGGGCAGGAAGAACTAACTGCACTGGGTTGTGAAGAATGACTGGTTATATACGATGGAGTATGGGGGAGGTAAAGTCAGGAGGAAGTTTCTTAAAGGGTTTCCATCTGCTAAAGAAAACTCAAAGTTTACTCTATACAGAGTAATTTCTATAGGCAACACATTTTACAATGAAAAGGGTTATATTAATACACTGTCTCATTAGATTTAAACCACAGAGTATTTTACAGCAAATGTAACTTGGAAAGTATTTTGTCCATTCCTGTTACTAAATATCAAAATTAAAGTCCAATTCTTTCCACTATCATATGACTAGTCTTTTCAGAGCTGGGACCAGAACCTAGGCCTCCTAACTTTTACTTTGCAATTTTTTCCCCCTAGAACTCACTGCCATACTAACTCAATTAATTTGAACTGTTGAAGATTAAATAGCAGAAGTGATTATAAATTTATCATTATCACTCTCATTTCTCAGAAAGATGTTATTACCTGTAAATAAGTGGGGAAACATCACTTAAATATATACATAATATAAATATATTTTTTATAATTAAATAAAATTTATATAATTTATATAATTATACACCATATATTTAATTACATATAATATATATAATTATATATACAATTATTTATATAATTTATATAATTAAATATAATTTATATATATATGTATTTTTTAAGTACTATTTAAAAAGTTCACAAAGATTTTTAAAGTTTTAGATTGCCATGTAGAAAGCACCTACCACCCTATGGGGGGTGTGAATTAAGTGGGTAAAGAAAAGGGGAAGACATTTATCTATTCAGCATTTGTTTGTACTAAACATCATGCTATGATTTTTATATTAATATTTAACCTTCAACCCAATCCTATTAAGTTAAGTAATATAATCATCAGTTGACCATTGATATAATGAAGCTCCAGAAGGCTAAGTAACTTGCCTCAGGTAAATAAATGGCAGTTCTGTGATTCAAACTCCAGCTGGCTGACTTCCTAACATAGGTTTTATCCATGTATACCACACTATTATGCAAAAGACATATGCCTGGTCATCATGATGTGACTCCCAATGTCTTTTGACCTACAGTATCACCCATGGGAATACCTTGGATTCTTCTTGAGGTTTGCCCACACATATAGAGTAACATTTTCATCTTGAATGACTTTTTCCATATTTCCACTGTCCAGATCTGCTAATGTACTAGCTTGCTGTAACAGAAAAAGAAAACATTATAAAAGATTAGAGGCCTCATAAATTATGCAACTTACAAGAGTCATTTCATTACTTAGGTGTTAGATTCCCTTTATTACTTAAAAGAGTAATTTGGGTAAAAATATCAAACTAACAAAAAATTGCTTTAAAAAATTCTCTGAATGATACAAATGAACTTCAATGATACAAATGTGCTTCACCTTTGCACTCAGTTTCCCTTACAGTCTCTAAGGATTAAAATTGCTCCTGTATTCCCAGGATTACTGTTAAAATTTTAGCATTATCATGATTACCATGAACCCTTTTCAATTTTAGCATTATCATGATTTTTCATCTTAACTATACACCTGCTTCTTTATCTGTACCTTATTAAAATGTAGATCATGCTACTGCAAAAGTTAGTTCATTTCTGAACATTATCAAATTTAGAAAACAAAATTTCCAGTTTATGAAATCCAAATGAGTCATGTTTCATTAGTCTGACACTTGATGTCCAACATTAAACGCACAATTTAAGAATGTTCTTAAGAATGTTTGATAAAAACAAATAGAGCTTGTTGCATGTTAGCTCTCTTAAATGCCTCAAATAAGTCAATACTGTATGTGTATAGCTGCCATATTGTAAAACCTTAGAAGTACTGGAGATTGAATATATTGTTAATTTTTAAAAAGTCATTGATCCCCCACACTTTTTTCCTTAAAAGGTGACATTACCTTTTGAAGTATCCAGAATAGCTGTCTTGTAGAACACTGTGAATTTATCTGATTGTTTCCTCATGGTATTGTTTAACTTGCTTTTCTATCCCCTTTATTTTTTGTAACTTTTTTGAAAGTTAGGTGTGTACATAGGCTTAGTTATTTTTGGCAAGAAGGCATTGGACCTTATGTTGTGTTCTTCATGTTGCATCCTATCAGGAGCTCTATGATGTCCCACTATTAACAATGTGGACTTGATCACTTGGTTAAGGTGTAAGTACCCATATTCTCCCAGTTAGAAAGTATACTTTTCCCCAATCAATAAATAATCTGTGGCCTAATACTTTGGCACTAGGAGAATCAGGTGTTCTTCAACAACTTTCACCTAATTATCTAGGTGAAAATGATCCTTATCATTTATTACAATTGGGGACTGAAAAATGGTGACTTTCTAACTTACAATTCCTTCTACATTTATCAGATGGCATTCTTCTATAAAGAACTCTTCTTTCCCCTTACTCCACTGTCCCCCTTCCTTTTTGGAGTTATCACTTTAGACCCATGGATTTTTCTTTATTTAATGCGTTATAATCAATTATGATTATTCTTTCTGATATTCAAATTATTGCAAATTTGAACAGTGAGAGCTTCTTTAAGCTAGTTCTATGCCTTTGGATATGACTCCAATAGTGTGTAAGTATTTATTTGCTTTCTAGCACAAGATAATTCAATCTCATCTTTCACTGTCCTTGCTCCAGACCCAGAATCAGCTGTTTACCCCAGTTAGACTTGGTTCCATCTTAAGGATTAAAAAGGAATCTGCTTCATACTGATATCTCCACTTCAAATTTAACATTACAGTATTTTTTTCCTAATCTTTTACATACTGTTTTTCTCTTAAAATAATCTTGATTACTAATAATTTTAATACACTTCCTTGTTTTTCTTAAAATACAAATCAAAGAGTTGCAAAATTATATGAATATTACTAACAATAAATTTAGTGAAATTTAAGCCTTCTTCGCGTTTCTTTTTGTAGTTAGAACATATGCTACCAACACTATACAGAGGACTATGTTCTAGACCAAAATAAACCAAAATAACCACAAACCATGTGTGACCTTAAGGCTGTTTTCTGATTAGAGGACAAAATAAAACAAAAACGGCTATAGAAGACATTCATGGGATATTAGCCAACATTTAAATATGGACTGGATATTAGAGTATGGAATTGTTACTTCCTAAGGTATAATAATGATTTTACAGTTATTTCGATATTATTTTTAGCGATAAGATATTTGGGAAAAATAGAGTGACTACCAATAATTATAATTGTTTTCAACTCATTTATCTAGAGTAGTGAATATCTAACATACAATGTTTAGCGAATTTATTTTCATAGTGATCCCACTAAACCTTAGCAAGTATAAGGAAAAAACTGGACTTTAACTACATTGATAATGCTTCTTTTTCTTTAGAAATATTTATGGTTGGGGGCACCTGGGTGGCTCAGCTGGTTGGGCGTCTGACCCTTGGTTTCAGCTCAGGTCATTATCTCACGTCACAGCTCATGGGTTCAAGCCCCGCATCACAGCGTGCAGCCTGCTTGGGATTTCTCTCTCCCTCTCTCTTTGTCCCTCCCCGGCTTGCTTTCTTCTCCCTCTCTCTCAAAAAATAAACATAAATAAAAATTTGGAAAAAAGAAGTATTTATGGTTGTTAGATCTGGATAAATGTATGTGCCTCATATTATTCTACTGACTTTTCCATAGCCTTTTAATTAAAAAAAGATACTAGATGTTTTATTATGTAGCATAAAGTTTTCATTCTTATAAAAGTTAATCATAAGTTATGAGTAAAATAATCACACTTACTCTGAGAAGTCGTTCTGTGGCTACATTGAACTTAAGATGGAGGAGCTCCTGAAGCTCTAGAATTGATCCTCGGTATTGTATTACAGTTTTATCTTCCAAATCATATGATGGCGTTTGCAATAAAAGTAATCTCAACTTCTCAATTAACTATAAAGTAAAATGTAAAGTAAAAATTTACTCTAAGAATAAATTAAACTTCTGACAAATAGTCAAAGAAAAAGTGAAAAGGCAATGTTCTATCACTTTAGAATTGACGAACACATCGTATCATCAGTAAAACATAAAAATCCTTTCTTGTGTTAATTGTATTATTTAAGATCATGGAAAAATAAAAATATTTCCTCCAGATACTCTTTTATAAAAATTCTCAACTATTGGCAAGTTATAGAGGAGGCATAGCTTGGATGCTGAAGACAATGGAACAATAGAAATAGTGATATAACAATAATGAGGAGGAGGGACACCTAGGTGGCTCAATCAGACAAGTGCCCAACTTTGGCTCAGGTCATGATCTCACTCACAGTTTGTGAGTTCAAGCCCCAAGTCCGGCTCTGTGCTGACAGCTCAGAGCCTGGAGCCTGCTTCGGATACTGTGTGTCTCTCTCTCTGGGCCCCTCCTCCACTTGCTCTCCGTTTCTCTCAAAAATAAACATTAAAAAAATTTAAAACAAGCAAATAAACAATAATGAGGAGGAGAATGAGAAGGTGGAAGAGCAGATAGTTACTAATATGTACCGAATGTTTATATAGGTGCCCACGGCAGGCCACCCCCAAATGTAGCACAATGGCATATTGATCATTTTGAATTGAAGCTACTTGAGAAGCAACCAGTGTAAAGACACTTGCATCCTCCTCTGTCTCCTGAAAGCAGGAAACAAATCTCCCGTATGAAAATACCTTCCCTGTACTAAGAAGTAAAAAGACCAGAGATACGAACTTTAAACTCAAGAAAACTGTAGAAATAAACCTTGTTATTTTTTTTTTTTTTTACTAATCTACCACATCAGACCAAACTCCACTTAGAATTCCTTACTAACTAAAGCTCACAAACACCTATTTTCCTTATCTTGTAAATTCCTCACAAATTGATTGTCTAAAATGTATAAAAACTGCCTGCCTCGGTCATTTCTTTGGGTCTCAATTTCATTATTGGGTCTCCATGCACGTCTCATATGTATTGAATTCTCAGTCCAGCTGAAAGAGCTTGAAGGATATAAGAATTTCCCCTCTCCTACACTTACTATGTGCCAGGAACTGTTCTAAATGTTTATGTTTTAATTCATTCTATCTTCATCATAACTCTATGAGGTAGATACTGTTATTATGCCTATTTTTATAGATAAGGAAACTAAGGCAGTCTGATTCCCTTGGTAAGGAGTTTGAAAGACCCCACTCCTTCCTAACAGCAAGTGAAAAGCTCAACAGACTGAAAAATCAACAACTCTTCTTTGATCAACAAGAAGGGAGGAGACTGGGCAAACGCCTGATCTCAAGACTGGGAAGACCTGTAAGTGAACAGAGGGAGCTAGCTTACCATGGTATATTCAGGAACAAAAGCCACTGCAGAAACCAGTGCCAGATAAGAACATCTGAAACTGCAAATGACAAATTACTGAAGGCTTAGTGTGGAGAGCTCTTGAGAGTTAAAAACTCCAGGAGAGCACAGCCATGGAAGGAGGAGAGCCCACAATATTGTGAGACTTCGCTCCAAATGCTCCACCAGGTTCTCACAATAAATATGGGAGCAGAATCCCCTCCTACTTCCAGCAGAGGGAAGGGAAAAGGAACGGTTTTGAAATACACCAGAGTACTCTATCCTTAACAAGGCCTGATCTTAGGGGAAACTAATTAACTAGAGCCTAAGTTTTGGGACTTTTATCAAAGCCTCACTCACCTGGGGGAAAGGAAATAACTCCAGCTAGCACTAGCCATCCCCTCCCACCTGAGGGGAATAAAATAAATTAAAAACACTTGTGAAGTTCACCATGCAGAGATACAGGCTTATTAAAAGACCGAGACCTAATTGCAGGACTATAGGATTCTTCTCCTCCCCGGCCCCACCTCACAGCCATATTACTAAAGCCCTATTTATACCACTTCCTTTCACTCAGTACATCATGTCCAGCTATCATGAGAAAATTACAAGTCATACCAAAAGGCAAAAACCACTATTTGAAAAGACAAAGCAAGCATTAGAACCACACATGGCAGGGATATTGAATTATCCGACCAGGAATTTAAAACACCTATGATTGATATGCTAAGGGCTCTACTGAATAAAGCAGACAGCATGCATAAATAGATGGGCAACGTAAAGCAGAGAGATAGAAATCCTAAGAAAGAACCAGATAGAAATGAATGAATGCCTTTGGTGGGCTTATTAGTAGACTGGACTTAGCAGAGGAAAGAATCTCTGAGCTAGAGGACATAACAATAGAATCTTTGAAAACTAAAGTCAAAGAAAACAAAAAGTGAAAAAAAAAAGTATTTTTTTAAATAGAACAAAGTATCCAAGGACTGTGGGACAACTACAAAAGGTATAGCATACATGTAAAGGGAATACCAGAAGGAGAAAAGAGGGAGAAAGGAACAGAAGAAATATTTGAAATAACAATTTCCCTAAATGAATATCAGATGCTAAACCACAGGTTCAGGGAGCTTGGAGAACACCAAACAGGATAAATGCCCTAGAAAACTACACTTAGGCATATTATTTTCAAACTACAGAAAATCAAAGATAAAAAATCCCGACAGAAGCCAGAGGAAACAACACCTTACCTTAAGAGAAACAAAATTACGAATTACATTTAACTTCCCAGAAATCATCTAATCAAGAAGAGAGTGGAGATATTTAAAGTGTTGAGAGAAATCGAGGCACAGCATGACCAAGGAACAAGTAATAAGTGGCAGGATTTAGTTTTGAACACTGACACAGATAATACCTAGAAAATTTCTAAATTAAGAGAGGTGGCATTGTGGTGGAGGGCAGTATGGACTTAAGCCAGCATGCAGGGCTTCGATCCTAGCCACTTCCTACTGGCAGTGTGGACTTGGGTAAGTTATATAACATCTTTGTACCTCTGTGCATCACTATGCCCTCTTCATTTGTAAAATGAGAATACTGGTGCCTACCTCCTAGGGTTATTATAAGAATTCAGCAAGTAACTACTTCTAAAGCCTGGAATAGTAAGTATTATATAAGAGCTTGCCAAATAAATACATTTGATAATTTGGAACTTAGTGTTTACCGTGGGGTCACTGCTATCCAGTTCTTTCTGTTCCTCAGTGCTGCCCTCTTTAGTTTCCTATTGCTATGATCATCCTCCTCTCCTATTTTGTTTTACCTGCCCTCTCCTCATTTTCTGTACTGTTTCTTACTTCCATTTCTGTAACCCACTCTCATAATAGGAAGATTTCACTTCCAGCTCATCACTAGTGAACTCCAGTGCTACTTCCCACTCTCTCCCAGCTATTGCAGAGCACTGGCTTCCTGGGCCAGCAGCATGCCATGGCAGCCGGCAGAGAGGATGTGCAATGGCAAGAACCCTGTACAATGAATTCACTGGTGTCCAAATATCTCACAGTGGACAGGAGGCTTGGGAGCTTCTGGAAAGTCAGAGTAAGCCCTATTTAAAGTCTCATAGGAGACTCTAAGCAAGTCACAGTTTTTCTCTCTACATATGTAAAATGGATCTCATACGCTTGCCCACATCAAATTAGGCAATGCATGTTATGAGCTTAACGGTCTGGAGTTACTCTATCTTCATAACAACATGCTGAAGAAGTAAACCCCAGCGACAAGAAGCACAAAAATGTGGTGAGGAATTGCAACAAAAAGTATTAGAAGATAATAGGACCAAGTGCAGTGAATTCCTTCCAGTTCCTACTACTATGTAAGTGTGCCTAGTATGGGTTTCTTTCTATGCATCCTAATGGGATTTGTTGGGTTTCTTGAATCTGAGGGTTTGTATTTTTCCTCAATTCTGGAAAGATGTCAGCCATTTTCTCTTTGAATACTGTCATTCCCTTCTGGTACTCTTTTTCGATGCATTTTAGCCCCTTTTACTCTATCATACATACCCATTAACTGCTCATTAATATTCTCCATCTCTTTATCTCTTTCTGTGTGCTATATTTTGGTAAATTCTTCCAATACAACTTCTGATTCACTTGTGATTAAGAATTCTCAGTAGAGACATTTTTGTTTCCCTTCAATAAGCTAAAGATGAGCCAAACAAGTTCTTATCATCTCCCTTTGCAGAGCAGGTATTTCCCCTATCATCCACAATAACTTTTTGAGGCTCCCAGCCATACATGGAGTTTCTGATCCAACTTGCCACCTTGCATGGACCCTAGGCTTTGCTTCCTGATGGTCCTTTAAACCAATGCTAACCCAAGACTTAACAGAAAAAGAAGCCTCTTGGAAAGTGGTGTCTCTGGGAAGCCACTCACTTTGAGATTTGCCCATAAGGCCTCCAAGATTTTCCCTTACTTTCTTTTGAAATAGGCAATGAATTTAAATATCATTAAAACATTTTTTTTTTTTAGCATTTTTAAGTGCATCATAAAGTGCTAGTTCCTCAGGGTAGCCTATCCATCCTATTTGCAGAACTAGAAGGTAGGATATTCTTATTCATCTTTGTTCTTTCATGCCTAGAAGAGTAGGTGCCTGGCACATAGTTGACATAGAAAAGTATGTGTAGTGAATCACCAAATAGTGGAAAATTTCAACTCAAGATAAAATCATGCACTTTCCCTCCAAGTTATCTACATAAATGGATGCAACTTGATTTTGTTTTTCCCAGCTTAGACACATAAGGTTTCACATTTATGCTATACTGACCTTATCTAAGGTGGCAAAGATAAAAAATAAAAATGGGAGTTGTAAAAACAAAAAAAAGAGAAAGGTTAAATATTTTTCTCGATATCTAAACACACAGTAGTGTTATTAATTGGCAAATACAAATGTATATTTGTTTAATTTATTTCTATTTTGGAGTCGATACCAGACAATTTGTAACTTAAACAACTTAAAATTACAGAGTAATACTCTAGGACATACATTTAGCACTAATTTACTCTTCGCGATCACTTCCTCTAAAGTCTCATTTGTTTCCTCTTTCCACAGACTAATGAAAGTATTAATTTCTGGGGATACTGAAGGATCAGGACTTCCATCACATTGAATGTAGTGATTCCACTGTGGAATAAAAATGTTGGAAGGGTCACAATGATGAAAATGCAAAGATTAAATAACTTTTTTCCAAGTATCAGTTCTCATAATCTAGTTTTCCCAATTTAGGTTAAAAAAATTATGACTTTAACTGCCTACTTGAGATATCTCTATAATAACCAAATTCTATTTATCAAAATAATTTATAAGCCTCAATAGTTCAAATAAATAGCAATTCTAGTAATTGTCATATTTTTAAAAAACAGTATTTATCAGTTGGTTTTGTTTTGCTTTCGTCTCTAAACATACAGCTCCTGTATTTACAAAAGCCAACACTCGGGCTAATTTCTACTTACCAAATTATTACTGTTTTTTGTGGGGTTTTTTTTCCAAATTATTACTAATTGTTAATCACCACTGTCATTTTAGTATGAGTTCTTCCATTCATTTTGCAGTCTATGAAACTTCTACACTTGTAATCATATTGTACTTTGCTTAAAATTATAGTGTAATCATCTTTTGCCATATTATTACAGTTTTTTTCTTTTTCTCCTTATAAGAACCTTTATTTTTTTCCAAAGTTACATTGTTTTGAGCAATGCTAGATTGACTTAAGCTCAAAGTTTTCTATTTTAATTCAGAATAATTTCTTCAGTATAGATTCCCCCAAAATTAAATCAGAGTCAAAAGATACAAAAATTTCAAGGATCTTATTATTGACAATAGTTTTCTACAAAGGTATGTGAATTTACTTTGCTACATGCAATATGACAGATTTGTCAAATTAGAGATGTTTTACAGACAAATTAAAAATCTGAGGGGATTAAAAAGGATATCAGAGTATAATTTCCTCTTGTGGCACACACAAACACACAAAATCAGTTTTACCTGAGAAAGCAATCTAGTATCTCGTTTCAACTTCTCTGCTTCAGGAAAACACTCCTCTAATAAATAAAGTTCTTCAAGTTCTTCATTCCTCCTTTCTAGATCCTGTTGCATGGGGATACATTGGTGGGCTCTTTAATTTTAGCTTTATGTTTCACAGGTAGCATCTAAACTTTACTCGGCAAAATACTGAGTTTCAAAATGAACACTAAAATTAGTCTGAATGTAACTGGTATTTCCAAAAGGTTTCCTCTGAAACAGAGGTTTGCAAGTTATCTGCAGACACCTGGTGGGTCCCCAAGACTCTTCAGGGATCTGTGAGGTCAAATATGTCTTCATAATAATACTGAAACAGTATCTGCCTCTTTTGCAGTGTATACATTTACACTAATGGTGCAAAATGGTCTAAAATTGTTGGTGTCTCAGCACAAATCAAGGCACAAGCTATACTAAGAGTCATATTCTTTGGGGTTTGTGGGTGGTAAACAGCCATTTTCATATAAGAGCGACCTGAGGAGGTGAAAATTATTAATTTTGTTAAGTGTCAACCTTTCAGTATAAGTCTTTTGATTGTTCTATGTGCATAAAGCGAGAAGTATGCATAAAGCGTTCTGCCATGTTTCAAAGGACAAGGCTGTCTTGAGAAACCACTGCTTGCACGATTATTTGAGTATTTTGGCAGACACTCTCAAAAATGAATGCACTGAGTATGTCACTTTCAGGAAAGAATTAAAAGTATTTGTTACCAATAATAAAATTCAAGCTTTCAAATAAAAATTCAAATTAAACAAAAAAACTTGTATCGACCACTGTGAGCTTGACATTTTCTCAATCCTTAAAAACCTTTCTGATTTGATTGGGGAAGACATCAATGCATGTGATTTTTGGTAACTAATAATAAAAACGTGTCAACATTTGGAAGGAAATTATTCAGTAAACCAAGTTTTTCTAAGCAATGTATGATATTTCAAAATCATACATGGATACAAGATCAATTTAAAGTGTAAGACAGATCAATGTTTTAGTATAACGCTATGAAAACTTCATTGATATGATTTCACATTCCATATTAAGAAACTATGACTTACCGAGTTTTGGTATAGAATCAAAAAGAATATCCACAATTACCTGAAAGGCTATTACAATATTCCGCTTTTCCAACTATGATTCTGTGTGAGGCCAGATTTTCTTTATGCACTTCGATAAAAACTCATTGTAACAGACAGAATACTGAATAGATATGAGAATCTAGCAGTCTTTTGTTAAGTCTGACATCAAAGAGACTTTAAAAACATAAACAATGCCATTTATTTCTCTAATTTAAAAAATATAGAATGTGTGGTGATGAATGTTAACTAGACTTATTGGAATAATCATTTCACAATATATACAAACATTGAATCACCATGTTTATACCTGAAACTAATACAATGTTATATGTCAATTATAACTCAATAATATATAATTATATGTACAATAGTTTTCTTCCTTAAAATATGTTAATATATTTACTTATTTTTATTAATGTTTATTTTATATAATATTTAATGTCTATTAATATGACATGTCTTAAAATTTCTCGGTTTGAGTTTCTAATGTGGTAAATATTGAGAAATATGACCCACATAAATAAATTTCCTTGGGGGGGGGGCGCCTTCAATTTTTACCAGTTATGAGGCTTGTCGAGATCAGAACTACTGATAAGAAAAATCCTGGTAATTCTGGTAAAAAAGAGAAGTAAAACTAAAATATGAGAGGTAGAATTTGAGTTTGGGGGGAGGAAGCCCTGTTTAATTATCTATAAAACAGACCGAGAAAAATAACTTAATGCTTACAAGCAAGGGCTCTGAAGCGAGACTATTTATGTCTAAGTCCTGGCTCTTCAACTCATTAGCTGCTTACCTTCCCTTTTCCTCAATTTCCTTATCTGTGAATTGTGGGTAATAACTTCACTTCTTTATGGTAGGATTAAAGGAGTTAAACCAGTTTACATAGGCCTATACATTAGTGGTAGGTATGGGGGAGAGTGACATTACATGACCAAACAGATCTGATAGCTACATAGTTTGTCTTCACTAATAACATTACTAATGTTTACATACTTTTGCTTCAAGTTGATGCCATTTTTCTCTCTCAATCCGTTGTCTTTCAAGTCTTTCCATTTCTTCTTTTTCATGTTTCACACGGGCTTCCTCTAAAGAACCAAAAAAATTTTCTCTCAGTGATTAAATCAATCTAATTTTAATCCCTTAAAGTTACTTAAAATATTTTCAAGATATAATGGTAGTGAAATATTTTATAGAACTTACAGCCTATATTATGTGGTAGAAGTAAGACAGATGCTGGATTTCTTTCAAAAAAGTAACATGACTCAAACTTTCTGGCCAAAAAAAATAGGCCCATAATAATATTTCTCTTCTCCAAATTTATAGCAATCCAATAATAATTTTAAATAATAAAAAATGACAGAACTATCATAGGTAATTAAGGAGAGGTAAAATCTTCAGGAGATTTCCATAAGTTTCTTATATCTACATCATTAGAAGCAATTACCACTTTTCCTAGGTTCATTTATGTATTTTGAGAGACAGAGAGAGAGTGTGCACAGGTGTAAGCATGGGAGGGGTAAAGAGAAGGAGAGAGAGAATCCCAAGCACGTTCTGTGCTGTCAGCTCAGAGCCCGACAGGCCAATCTCACAAACTGTGAAATCATGACCTGGGTCGAAATCAAGAGTCAGATGCTTAACTGACTAAGCCACCCAGGCACCTCCAGAAGCAATTACCTTAAACTTCTCTTGCTTTCACTATTAAATACGAAAGATATGTTGAAGAATATAAGTTT